GTTGTTGTTGTAATCACCAGCGAACCGTCACACGGTACTCCAATTGTAAATGTTGTTGTGGGTTTACTCTGAAAACACACCGGGTGTGCTGCAGTAGTTACTAATTGGCACGTTTTTTTACGTGACGTGTGAATGAATGAGACATTCGGTCTACTGAGCATAGTTGTAACATCGATGATGATGTCGTGGTGTGTAATGCTTAGCACACTTGGGCTTGCAATCCACATGTATTCGATTCTATCTCCCAAGCGTGACAGTTGGAATAAATTCAGTTTCAGTTTCATTGTATTCGGTATAACCCTGTGAGCCATGCGGCTCTTGACTCGGGTGCAACCGCAACAAAGCAAAAACATGCACCAAGAAACATCTTAAATTGAGGTGCACGTTTCTTAAATCCCACCCCAGCAGTATGAATGTGTACACCGCTGTGAGAAGATCGGCAGGTTGCGCGTGGTGGGACAAAGAGGGCGGTATCAAAATCTTCCAAGACGTCCAGGCCAGCGTGGAAGACGAGGCCAAAGCACCATGCAGAACGGAGCCTTCTAGAAGCTCCGTCGAGTGGAGGGACTTCCTCCAGCCGTGACGTGAGCGAGCAATTAACAGGACTGCACATTTTTTTTTATTATAATAATAATACTAATGGCAATGTCTGGAGGGAGAGTGGCTTGATGGTCAGTAACAAAGCAATCCAAGGAATTGAACGCATCCCAGGGGACGTTTGTCAAGAAGGTAGAGCGACGAAGTGACCGAAGTGCAGCGATTCCCAACAATTTTCGAGTGTGCCGACCCCTTTTTCAACCTCCAAGCATTTCGCTGACCACCGCATGCTACTTACTAGTTGTGTGCAATGCTACGTTTCCTTGGTGAGGGTATTATTTTTCGTTGGTTCTTTCGGTCAAGTCACGTAGTTAAAAGTAAAGTAGAACAAATCACGACGTTCCGATCGCAACACAAGCAGTCGTCATCAGCCTGATGAAGAGTATGGATCCCTGCAGTCACGAAAGCTTCAAATCAAGATTGATATTATTTTGTATTCTTTTCCGCGGACCCCCAGGGGTCTGAGAACCACGGGTTGGGAACCTCCTGACCTCGTGGACAGGGTGCTCCAAATATCTTGTGACCCCCTCTTTTCAGTCTCTAATTTTTTTTTATAATTTTTAGAGTAATGTTCATTCCAAACAGAAATATCAGGGGTCAATTAATTGGGGGAGGCGGGGGGGGAGATGTCACAAAGACATCTAGACCACCCTATAGAAGTGAGAGGTGCGTTGTTGCTTCGCAGGATTGTGACGTGGCGATTAGTTGGGAAAGGGCGTTATCCAGCAGTGGATTCGTCATGAGCGATGATGTTGATAGAGATCTGTATAAAATGTCTCCACCAATATTCAGACGCTATCTCGGTCACGTGTAGTACCGTATTACTATTATTGGCATGCGTGTTCACCCAGGAAGGCCTCAATAACTTTCAGGAGTGTCCTGTAACGTCTGTCAAAGTAATACCAATTAACTAATTTGCATGCTATTCGTCAGCACGGCTAATACCAATTACATTGTTGGGGCTTTTTTTGTTACTTATGGGAAGAAAGTGCATAACCTGGAGGAATGCCAAGCCAAGCAAAACAGGAAAAATATGCAAACTCCATGCAGAAAGGCAGTCCGTGTCGGGCGTCGATCCCAGGTCATTCGTGCTCTGAGGCACGAACGAACGTTGTTACCACTGCACCACCCTGCCGCCGATCGTTGTCCCTTAGGGTTAACATTCGTGAAATGTCAATCAACATTTTTCTGCTTTCATGATCCCGTTGATTGCTATGACGTCCTCAATCATAGTCTTTCTTGATTTTCATTTAACCGGAAAAAAAGCGTCATTTAGTCTCCAGAATTTTTAGGAGGATCCTGCATTAAAGCGCTTGACCACTTCCATTATAATGAGCATTTTGATTGCTGTAGGAAACCAGAATTTCTGGAGAAAACCCACCGCACACACACACACAACTCAAATGTTCGCCCAATTTTTTCTTCACGAAGCCACTTGCCGCGCTGCCATTTCCCGGCAGTCCAGCTGGTTTGGTTTGTTTCACTATTCTCTACATGATACGTAAACCATGGCCTCCAAAGTAGGGATGTTTAAAAAAACACATTAATCACATCGGTAACACCAATGATTGGCTTCGATACGTCAATTTTTGACATCGATGTTGATCCCTCCACTAACGTGAGAACATCGATGTTTCCTTTCGATGGAGCTGGGATCCTGCACATGGAGTTCCTGCACGTGGAGCTGGGACCCTGCACCTGGAACCCAGAGACCCTGCACCTGGAGCCTAGAGACCCTGCACCTGGAGCCTAGAGACCCTGCACCTGGAGCCTAGAGACCATGCACCTGGAGCCTAGAAACCCTGCACCTGGAGCTGAGAGACCCTGCACCTGGAGCCTAGAGACCATGCACCTGGAGCTGAGAGACCCTGCACCTGGAGCCTAGAGACCCTGCACCTGGAGCCTAGAGACCCTGCACCTGGAGCCTAGAGACCATGCACCTGGAGCCTAGAAACCCTGCACCTGGAGCTGAGAGACCCTTCACCTGGAGCTGAGAGACCCTGCACCTGGAGCCTAGAGACCCTGCACCTGGAGCTGAGATACCCTTCACCTGGAGCCTAGAGACCCTGCACCTGGAGCCTAGAGACCCTGCACCTGGAGCCTAGAGACCCTGCACCTGGAGCCTAGAGACCCTGCACCTGGAGTCTAGAGGCCATGCACCTGGAGCCTAGAGACCATGCACCTGGAGCCTAGAGACCCTGCACCTGGAGCCTAGAGACCCTGCACCTGGAGCCTAGAGACCCTGCACCTGGAGCCTAGAGACTCTGCACCTGGAGCCTAGAGACCATATACCTGGAGCCTAGAGACCCTGCACCTGGAGCCAAGAGAGACTGCACCTGGAGCTTAGAGACCATGCACCTGGAGCCTAGAGACCCTGCACCTGGAGCCGAGAGAGACTGCACCTGGAGCCTAGAGACCCTGCACCTGGAGCCTAGAGACCATGCACCTGGAGCCTAGAGACCCTGCACCTGGAGCCTAGAGACCCTGCACCTGGAGCCTAGAGACCCTGCACCTGGAGCCTAGAGACCCTGCACCTGGAGCCTAGAGACCCTGCACCTGGAGCCTAGAGACCATGCACCTAGAGCCTAGAGACCCTGCACCTGGAGCCTAGAGACCCTGCACCTGGGGCCTAAAGACCATGCACCTGGAGCCTAGAGACCCTGCACCTGGAGCCTAGAGACCCTGCACCTGGAGCCTAGAGACCCTGCACCTGGAGCCTAGAGACCATGCACCTGGAGCCTAGAGACCCTGCACCTGGAGCCTAGAGACCCTGCACCTGGAGCCTAGAGACCCTTCACCTGGAGCCTAGAGACCCTGCACCTGGAGCCTAGAGACCCTTCACCTGGAGTCTAGAGACCCTTCACCTGGAGCCTAGAGACCATGCACCTGGAGCCTAGAGACCATGCACCTGGAGCCTAGAAACCCTGCACCTGGAGCTGAGAGACCCTTCACCTGGAGCTGAGAGACCCTGCACCTGGAGCCTAGAGACCCTGCACCTGGAGCTGAGAGACCCTTCACCTGGAGCCTAGAGACCCTGCACCTGGAGCCTAGAGACCCTGCACCTGGAGCCTAGAGACCCTGCACCTGGAGCCTAGAGACCCTGCACCTGGAGTCTAGAGGCCATGCACCTGGAGCCTAGAGACCATGCACCTGGAGCCTAGAGACCCTGCACCTGGAGCCTAGAGACCCTGCACCTGGGGCCTAGAGACCCTGCACCTGGAGTCTAGAGGCCATGCACCTGGAGCCTAGAGACCATGCACCTGGAGCCTAGAGACCCTGCACCTGGAGCCTAGAGACCCTGCACCTGGAGCCTAGAGACCCTGCACCTGGAGCCTAGAGACTCTGCACCTGGAGCCTAGAGACCATATACCTGGAGCCTAGAGACCCTGCACCTGGAGCCAAGAGAGACTGCACCTGGAGCTTAGAGACCATGCACCTGGAGCCTAGAGACCCTGCACCTGGAGCCGAGAGAGACTGCACCTGGAGCCTAGAGACCATGCACCTGGAGCCTAGAGACCATGCACCTGGAGCCTAGAGACCCTGCACCTGGAGCCTAGAGACCCTGCACCTGGAGCCTAGAGACCCTGCACCTGGAGCCTAGAGACCCTGCACCTGGAGCCTAGAGACCCTGCACCTGGAGCCTAGAGACCATGCACCTAGAGCCTAGAGACCCTGCACCTGGAGCCTAGAGACCCTGCACCTGGGGCCTAAAGACCATGCACCTGGAGCCTAGAGACCCTGCACCTGGAGCCTAGAGACCCTGCACCTGGAGCCTAGAGACCCTGCACCTGGAGCCTAGAGACCATGCACCTGGAGCCTAGAGACCCTGCACCTGGAGCCTAGAGACCCTGCACCTGGAGCCTAGAGACCCTTCACCTGGAGCCTAGAGACCCTTCACCTGGAGCCTAGAGACCCTGCACCTGGAGCCTAGAGACCCTTCACCTGGAGTCTAGAGACCCTTCACCTGGAGCCTAGAGACCATGCACCTGGAGCCTAGAGACCCTGCACCTGGAGCCTAGAGACCCTGCACCTGGAGCCTAGAGACCCTGCACCTGGAGCCTAGAGACCCTTCACCTGGAGCCTAGAGACCATGCACCTGGAGCTGGGACCTTGCACCTGGAGCTGAGAGAGCCTGCACCTGGAGCCCAGAGACCCTGCACCTGGAGCCGAGAGAGACTGCACCTGGAGCCTAGAGACCATGCACCTGGAGCCTAGAGACCCTGCACCTGGAGCCTAGAGACCCTGCACCTGGAGCCTAGAGACCCTGCACCTGGAGCCTAGAGACCATGCACCTGGCGCCTAGAGACCCTGCACCTGGAGCCTAGATACCCTGCACCTGGAGCCTAAAGACCATGCACCTGGAGCCTAGAGACCCTTCACCTGGAGCCTAGAGACCCTGCACCTGGAGCCTAGAGACCCTGCACCTGGGGCAATTTCAAGCGTGAGTTGCCACCTCCCTGGGGCTGATGTCTTGGTTTGGAGCGTTGCTGCTGGGATGTGAATGAATGTGATGGCAGGGGAGGTGGTGTGAAGCTTGGCACGAGGTTTCATATTCAGGCAGATTCTAATCTCTTGCAGTCTTAGAGCCCAATTGGTGTGCTCTGTGTGCCCAGTGAAAGCTCATTTAGTTTCAGGGTACTTGCATCTAATTAAGACTTTATGTACAGCAGGTAGAGGTATTAATGGGTACAGAATATGTTTATGTGTGAGAAAAGCCTGTGTACGTTAAACTCTGTCATATAATCACATTAAGTTACAGTCATGTGAAACACATACAAATTTGGCTTATATAATACGTCATAATAATCAAACACAGGCACATATACGGACAATTTTTGTTAATCTACTGCTGAATGATGGCGTCAGTCTTGGAGGGTAAACATTTGGTCCTCCCTGTACCAGGGGTCGGTCACCAAAAACAACAACAAGAGGCATTCTTTTCGATTTTGGTTAAAAAAAAAGATCTCAATTTCAAGCGCCACAATTCAACCTGAACACGAGACGGTGGTCCTGAATAAATAACGTCACGAAATGTTTCATAATGTGCCACATGCGGCTCCGGAACCGCAGGTTGCCGACCCCTGCCCATGGTAAAGTGGACTTCCATAGTAAAGTGGACTTCCATGGTAAAGTGGACCCCCATGGTAAACTGGACTTCCATTGTAAACTGGACTTCCATGGTAAACTGGACTTCCATGGTAAACTGGACTTCCATGGTAAAGTGGACTTCCATGGTAAACTGGACTTCCATGGTAAAGTGGACTTCCATGGTAAACTGGACTTTTATGGTAAACTGGACTTCCATGGTAAAGTGGACTCCCATGGTAAAGTGGACTTCCATGGTAAACTGGACTCCCATGGTAAACTGGACTCCCATGGTAAACTGGACTTCCATGGTAAACTGGACTTCCATGGTAAACTGGACTTCCATGGTAAACTGGACTTCCATGGTAAAGTGGACTTCCATAGTAAACTGGACTTCCATGGTAAAGTGGACTCCCATGGTAAAGTGGACTCCCATGGTAAACTGGACTCCAATGGTAAAGTGGACTTCCATGGTAAAGTGGACTTCCATGGTAAACTGGACTTCCATGGTAAAGTGGACTTCCATGGTAAACTGGACTTCCATGGTAAACTGGACTCCAATGGTAAAGTGGACTTCCATGGTAAACTGGACTTCCATGGTAAACTGGACTTCCATGGTAAACTGGACTCCCATGGTAAACTGGACTTCCATGGTAAAGCGGACTCCCATGGTAAAGTGGACTTCCATGGTAAACTGGACTTCCATGGTAAACTGGACTCCAATGGTAAAGTGGACTCCCATGGTAAAGTGGACTCCCACGGTAAACTGGACTCCAATGGTAAAGTGGACTTCCATGGTAAACTGGACTTCCATGGTAAACTGGACTCCAATGGTAAAGTGGACTTCCATGGTAAACTGGACTTCCATGGTAAAGTGAACTTCCATGGTAAACTGGGCTTCCATGGTAAACTGGACTTCCATGGTAAAGTGGACTTCCATGGTAAACTGGACTTCCATGGTAAAGTGGACTCCCATGGTAAACTGGACTTCCATGGTAAACTGGACTTCCATGGTAAAGTGGACTTCCATGGTAAACTGGACTTCCATGGTAAAGTGGACTCCCATGGTAAACTGGACTTCCATGGTAAACTGGACTTCCATGATAAACTGGACTCCAATGGTAAAGTGGACTTCCATGGTAAACTGGACTTCCATAGTAAACTGGACTTCCATGGTAAAGTGGACTCCCATGGTAAAGTGGACTCCCATGGTAAAGTGGACTTCCATGGTAAACTGGACTTCCATGGTAAACTGGACTCCCATGGTAAACTGGACTTCCATGGTAAAGTGGACTCCCATGGTAAAGTGGACTTCCATGGTAAACTGGACTTCCTTGGTAATCTGGACTTCCATGGTAAAGTGGACTCCCATGGTAAAGTGGACTCCCATGGTAAAGTGGACTTCCACGGTAAAGTGGACTCCCATGGTAAAGTGGACTTCCATGGTACACTGGACTTCCATGGTAAAGTGGACTCCCATGGTAAAGTGGACTTCCATGGTAAAGTGGACTCCCATGGTAAAGTGGACTCCCATGGTAAACTGAACTTCCATGGTCAGGGGTCGGCAACCAAAATAATAATAATAATAAGAGACATTTTTTCCCCCAATTTCAAGAGCCGCACTGCAGTCCCTTAAAGAGCCACCGCATGCGGCTCCAGAGCCACAGGTTTTGCCGACCCCTGCCCTGGATCATTCAGCCCGTAGATTGACACTGGTTGCCCTGCACAGAATACACACCACCGTGATCTGTACTCAAAACGCAATTCTCGCTGCCCTTATTACACAAGAGATGTCGTCAATGGGCATGATTCATCCCCAAATCAGCTGATTCTCTCCGTCACCACCCTTCGCTACGGCCCTCATCACGTTGCCTTCGAAGCTCCTCTCTATTTCTCCTTAATGTACGAAGAGTGAGGTCCGGCTAAGGTGAGAAATCATTTCGCGTTGCCGCCTCTCACTTTTTCAACGAGCTCCCTCCACGCTTTCGGCTTAAACTCCCTCCCCTTTCCTGGTGTTTTTAAATTCCTCCCATAATTTAAGGTCTCCCCTTTTCTTGTGCATGTGATGAGCGAACCCCACGCACTGTTACCTGCTCGTGTTATTTGAACGAATGTTTTTTTCCTCCAATGTGTTTGCTACTCGGTGTCTTCCATATTATGATCGATTTGCTGTAACTACCTTTTTTCACCAAGGTTCTTGGCAGGTCAGTCTTGTAAATCAGCTTAAAGCTGAAATGTTTCTTACTGGCGTAAACAAATACAATCGATCAATAACACCTTGTTATGCATGGTGCTCGTCCTTCCAAGCATTATTCAAGATCAAACCTGCTTAGCTTTTGAGATCTGATCAGATCAGGGGAATGTGGTGTTACCGTCACTATATATATATACATGAATATTAATGTTGTCCCTGTTTATTTTCAGATTCTGTCTGGAGTTGTCAGTGTCAATGGTCCCTTGACAGTCATGCAAGCCCTGCACTTTGGTGGTTCATTCTTCATGCAGGTGAGTGGTGCCTGCAATAAGTGATATTTTCTTTTAAATTTAAAACCAGATGAGAATAGTGAATATATCCGGTGACTCAGGGTTTATTTTCAGTCAGGAATCACAGGGCTCTCAACGCAGGCAGACATGGTTGAGTGTGGCACTGTGTGCACAAGATTCAGGGATCCAACCATTAACTCTCAACTCAGGGGCTGGCAACCTCCCGTGCCGCGAAAGAGCGATACTCACAGTGAAATCCTCGGTACAGCGGATGTACAGTGAGGGAAAAAAGTATTTGATCCCCTGCTGATTTTGTACGTTTGCCCACTGACAAAGAAATGATCAGTCTATAATTTTAATGGTAGGTTTATTTGAACAGTGAGAGACAGAATAACAACACGAAAATCCAGAAAAACGCATGTCAAAAATGTTATAAATTGATTTGCATTTTAATGAGGGAAATAAGTATTTCACCCCCTCTCAATCAGAAAGATTTCTGGCTCCCAGGTGTATTTTATACAGGTAACGAGCTGAGAATAGGAGCACACTCTTAAAGGGAGTGCTCCTAATCTCAGCTTGTTACCTGTATAAAAGACACCTGTCCACAGAAGCAATCAATCAATCAGATTCCAAACTCTCCACCATGGCAAAGACCAAAGGGCTCTCCAAAGATGTCAGGGACAAGATTGTAAACCTACACAAGGCTGGAATGGGCTGCAAGACCATTGCCAAGCAGCTTGGTGAGAAGGTGACAACATATTCTTGGTTGTTTCGGTAAAGTCACGTAGAAGGGAAAAATAAAATGATAATAAATAAAACAATAAAATTATCACGACGTTTCGACTGTAACACAAGCAATCATCATCAGGTGTGAAAACCACAGCAAGAAAATTTGAAAAAAGTGGTGTTTTTTTACGTTAGCACCGATTTGGCAGTTATTCAGATGGACGAGTCCATCTATGTTCGGAAAAGAGGAGGGGGGAGACGAAAATAATGGATGCGGTCTGAAAGCCACCGTAAGCGTGAACAATCAATTAAGACCCGAAATGGTTTATCAAATCCTTCCAATGATTGCTAAGCCAGAATCCATCTTCTCGGTTGAAATTGTCTCTGTGTTTGTATATGTGGATAGCCTCATGAACGAATCTCTCATGGTAGCCAGATGGCTTGCAGAGAACCTCTGTCTTGGATAAGTCAATGTCATGTGAGCTTACTGAATTATAACAGTGATCTAACAGTGATCTGCCACGGCAGATCTGCCACGGCAGATCACTGCTGTGAAACCCACAGCAAGAATTTTTTTAAAAATTTATTGCTGTGGGTTTCACACCTGAAGATGATTGCTTGTGTTGCAGTCGAAACGTCGTGAGAATTTTATTGTTTTATATTTTTATTATTTTATTGTTTCCGTTCTATGTGACCTTACCGAAAGAACCAAGAATATGAATCCCTGCGGTCACAAAAGCTTTAAATCAAAAGGTGCCAACAGTTGGTGCGATTATTCGCAAATGGAAGAAGCACAAAAGATCTGTCAATCTACCTCGATCTGGGGCTCCATGCAAGATCTCACCTCGTGGAGTTGCAATGATCATGAGAACGGTGAGGAATCAGCCCAGAACTACACGGGAGGATCTTGTCAATGATCTCAAGGCAGCTGGGACCATAGTCACCAAGAAAACAATTGGTAACACACTACGCCGTGAAGGACTGAAATCCTGCAGCGCCCGCAAGGTCCCCCTGCTCAAGAAAGCACATATACATGCCCGCCTGAAGTTTGCCAATGAACATCTGAATGATTCAGAGGACAACTGGGTGAAAGTGTTGTGGTCAGAGGAGACCAAAATGGAGCTCTTTGGCATCAACTCAACTCGCCGTGTTTGGAGGAGGAGGAATGCTGCCTATGACCCCAAGAACACCATCCCCACCGTCAAACATGGAGGTGGAAACATTATGCTTTGGGGGTGTTTTTCTGCTAAGGGGACAGGACAACTTCACCGAATCAAAGGGACGATGGACGGGGCCATGTACCGTCAAATCTTGGGTGAGAACCTCCTTCCCTCAGCCGGGGCATTGAAAATTGGTAGTGGATGGGTATTCCAGCATGACAATGACCCAAAACACACGGCCAAGGCAACAAAGGAGTGGCTCAAGAAGAAGCACATTAAGGTCCTGGAGTAGCCTAGCCAGTCTCCAGACCTTAATCCCATAGAAAATCTGTGGAGGGAGCTGAAGGTTCGAGTTGCCAAACGTCAGCCTCCAAACCTTAATGACTTGGAGAAGATCTGCAAAGAGGAGTGGGACAACATCCCTCCTGAGATGTGTGCAAACCTGGTGGCCAACTACAAGAAACGTCTGACCTCTGTGATTGCCAACAAGGGTTTTACCACCAAGTGCTAAGTCATGTTTTGCAGAGGGGTCAAATACTTACTTCCCTCATTATAATGCAAATAAATTGATAACATTTGACATGCGTTTTTCTGGATTTTTTTGAAGTTATTCTGTCTCTCACTGTTCAAATAAACCTACCATTAAAATTCTAGACTGATCATTTCTTTGTCATTGGGCAAACGTACAAAATCAGCAGGGGATCAAATACTTTTTTACCCTCACTGTACGTAGCATCTTAGTGTGGACCTCAAGATAGTGTACAGATACAGGGCAACATGATTATCATGTTTGCAAGGGAGATAGGGAGGGATTATATCTATGGGACCTTTTTTGCCAGGATCAAAATGATGAAAGATAAAAATAGGCTTTACCCTTTCAGGAAATAAAACAGGTTTTATGACGTTCAAACACCAAATAGACACCTATCGCAAGGCATACATTTTGCATTAACCACACATCCATGTGGCAAAACATTCATACGTGTTTTTGAGTTGTATTCTTTATTCACAAATGTTTCCAGTAACTTTGCATTCTTTTGTAAGTATTTACACAACTGGGTATAGTTTGGAAATGTTTCATTTTTAACCCTTTGACTGATTGCTGTTTGTACATTTGCAGTCGTGTTTTGTTAGTCCACTGCAGGATGAGGGCCTTGCCAGTCTGTGGGTCACATGGGGGTTCTTGTATTATAGTTCACCACTGGTTACTGTTTTACGGGGTTTACATACTTAAATACCTGGCTACAGTTTGTTTGAAAACATTTCGTATTTATTTGTAACTTATATTTTTTGTCATATGTTGTCGTGAAACAGAAGTTTTATGCCGAAGCCCAGCCTAGGCAGGGTCACTTTGGTGTTATAAGTTACTGTTGTTCCATTTTCATGTGACTTTCTGAGTTTCAGTAATGAAGATTTTACTGCGATTTTGCAGACAAACCATCGCCTAATATGTTAAAAACGGGTTAAATGTGCTTATTTGCAAGAAAATTACGCTTTCAATGTGGGAGTTTCATGAAACAGCGCCCCCTAGTGGTAGAACGGCGCCCCCTAGTGATCAACTTATTATTGGAGTAAAAATATATATAAAATAATGTTTTTTTTTTTAATCTTCCAGGTCGCCTTCAGAGTCCGCTCTGGGTTTCCATCTTCTCCTGCGCACAACCCTGCCACCTGTGTACACAGAGACACACACAACACCAACCATTGCCTCCTTCTTCTTCACACGTGCTCCAGGGATTCTCCCATCTCCTAATTGCATGCACCTCCAATTTGGACACCGGGAGAAACACGTTACAACATATATCTGTACGTACATTTTCACGGCGATTTATCGCTTACCTATGCCAGGATTTGAACGTTGCACCTCCGAACGCCAAGGTTTGCTCTCTCCATCACTCTGAGCCACCGTGTCCTCGCTTAGAAGCAATGTGCTCTGTGTGGTGTAGTGAGAGGCGCCAGAGGCATCGTCATTTATAATTTATCCAGAAAAAGCATTGTGGGGTTTGAACGCCGGAAACCAGCGCCCAGAGGCAGTGTTATAATCCTCCACACGACAAGGGTTTAGTGGGCATAAATAATGTTTTGGTTATTAAATCATTTTAATTAGAACATAATTTCACACGTATTATTTACATTATTAAAAAAATATATATACAAAGTTTCCTTCATGTGTGTGTATGATTTAAATTAGCAAAAAATATATAAAGTGAAAATCTTCGATTTGAATTTCAGTACCCCATGACTCAGAGCACTCAAGTGCCTCCCCAATCAGCCACTGTGTGTCCACCGACGGCACAGAACCCGATTTGGTATCGTTGCTGTGCCTGCACGGCATGTGGCTGTAAAAAATTTTTGGGAGCAATTAACATCCATCACTTAAAAGGAATGTCATAGCACGCGTGACGTGCGTTGATGTCATCACACAGAAGCAACGTAATGACCGTCTATCGTCAAGCAACATATACATAACCTAGTAAAATACTTAATTAGTGCTGGGTATCGAACTCAGGTCACCTGCGTCAAAGGCAGCCGTGCTATCCACTATGCCACAAGGGATTTGTGGCAGGCATAAATGTTCTAGTTATTAAATCATTGTGATTTTCATGCCCTTTAAATACATGCGATAAATGTAGTTACCCTGTGGGGGTCCAGTTAACGTGTGCACGTTCATGTAGTTGGGGGGCGTACGTAAATGACGTCACGCGATTTTTGACGATTTTTGACCCCCCCCCCCTCGTCACCCGGCATCACAAAAAGTCAGACCCCCCCCCCCTCAAGTATGACGTCATAAAGCTCTGCCACCCCCCCCCCCCCCAAATAAAACATGCTTCAAATCGCTTTAAACTATTGTCATTGTAGTGCGTATTTAATGTGGCGCTGCACTCTGATGTTGTAGGAGAAAACATTTATTAAAAAGTATATTTAATTAAGTAGAACGTGTTGTCTATATTTATTTAAAGTTGCGCATTTTGATGTGACGTCACATTTCTCAAACACCCCCCCCCCCCTCTCGTCACACATCGTCACACATGTCTGACCCCCCCCCCCCTCTAGGTGCGTGACGTCATTTATGGACGGCCCCTTGGCCCTGTTGGGGCTGTCAAAAAAAAACCGTGTTGCCTCCAAGTCAAAGTGTGTGCTTCCGTGAAGAACACTCCACATTGTTGGACTTGATACAACCGTGGATTTGATTTGCGGACCCAATTCTATTCATTGCGTCTGGCAATATGCGCGCCGCTGTTGGCCAGCTCGCCGCGAGAGGGCTTCAACGAGAGAGTTCGTGTCGCTTTGCTATTCCTCTTCCGTGGAAGGAGCGCAGAACTGCAGTGGGTTTACTCTCAGTGGTCCCCATGGTTCGAGTTGTATGGCCGCAAGTCGCACGACTGTCCGCTTGTCGTTAAAATTATATCGATGAAGGCGATGTACACATCAGACTGCCGATGTCCTTGTGTGAACGCTGAACTTCTTTCGCACCGTACGTAGCCAACCGTGCCAATCGATGGATGGTTACAACCGGTGTCTTCGACGAATGCCATTGCTAGAAAGTGCGACGTTTGGGGTCTCGAGTGATCCGTTCAATCCGGGACGTCCACGTTGTTTCCGCTCTGTTGGCCAGAGTTTGTCCGTATCTCGGTGAGACTCGAGGATGGTGACAACAGCGCGATCACAGATTGGGGGGGGTGGGATTGAGACTTGGGTGGACGGCCACGACACCGATCCCCGCTTCACCACCACGCGATTCCATCCAAAGCCAGCACCGCCCTTATAAGTCACAGCAATTATAGCATTTCAAATCAATTAAACGTGTGAGTATATGCAAACATATACGCTCAAAAAAGAGTCTGAAAATAGCGAGAGCGAGGCGACCCACGAACATTGTTAACGTCAGTGGCGAGTGATGTACGACTCCGGTCCTACACTGCTCCCCCCATACCACCTTTGAACGACTTCGCACGGTAAAATGATCGACCCTCGTTATTGACGAGGCCAGAGGGAGGAGACGCGAAAGGAGCCCCGTGAACAGTGCGAGCGAGCTCCGTGTGTCGTCACGTGGCATCTCCGTGGAGCCGGGCTGGTCTTCTCTTTAAAACAAGATAATAATAATCGTTGGAGAGCCCGGCTCTTGCTTCAGGTACGCGATCTGTGTATTGCGGGTAAGCGTTCGGATTTTTGGATGCATACAAAAAAAATGTACCTAGATATGAAATTTCAAATAATTTGTTTGCTTATCCCCCCCAGCCCTCCCCGTCAATATATAAGGAATAAATTACAGATTCTCGGTTCAATTACTCGACGACAATCGAATGAAGTAAAAATGATTTGGGGAATAACGCACAAACACATGGTCGGCTACGCACGGTGCAAAATAAGTTAATAACACTGCCTTCAAAAAAAATATATAGGCAACGTTTTCGAGGAATGAATGTCCCATCTTCGTAGCACATTGACCACAAGGCCATTGTGCTATGAAGAGCCATTGCCCGAAACGTCTCCTATATGATGTATTTGTCCTTATAAGACCAGTGTTGATGAATGTTTTGAGTTTTCTGCAATCACGTCCATCGGTGACTTCCCGCAAGCAAAAAAAAACCTTTCCCTGTGGCTTATTCCCATCACACACTGCTAGGTTCTCAGCCACTTGTTAATTTTCCGCCAACCCCATCTACGACTTAACAGTACCTCTGCTACAACAGCATGCGGCATACCACTTCACCATCCCTATCCTACCTCCCATCATCTTAGTGGTTCTTCCCCGACACACCACCTCTGGCTTTGTATATATATAAAAAAGTAAATGTATTGCCATGTTGCACGAAAGCTTGTACGTAGTTGTGGGGAGCGGTAGATTAGTTTCACTGCATATCTAGCTATCCGAGTTCAATTCGCGATTGCAACCAATGAATGAACATCAGCACGAGGGAGACAAAGGCATGGTGTTGGCCACGTGACCCCTCGTGTACCATCCCGGCCTGCATCGGTGCTCACGAACAGCACCAAGTCTATGGCTCTGCACAGGATGTGTGAATGGTGGAGCAGTGGCTATCGCACTGCCCTACAAACCATGTTCATTGGTCACAGCTGTCGATAGCTCAACTCAGTTGATCGGTGTTTTGTGAGCATTCAATAATACAGTACGGTAATAATTAAATGACTTGCCTTTGTTTATCAAAAGTTTAATCTACCCTCTGTCACCACCACCCATCAGCAAGTTCCATATCACCGTTTTTTTATATATAAAAAAACAATGGACATTCAGTTTGTTAAATTTATATATTTTTTCCAAGAAAAAAAGTGGTTTATAACGGGCCATTGTGTATAAAGAATATTACATGTACAGTTGGTGGCCTGTTCAATACAGAAAGAGCATTATTTTTTTTTTACAAAATTGACAATGGTCAGATAGCTCAGGTTTTATTCCGAGGCTCCAGTGTATACAACGTTTCTTTATTCACGTATTTATACTTGTGTGCATCCAATAAACAAATCAGTAGTAAATGCACATATGTACACACACACAGAGAGAACTCGGGACAATTATTTGTAAACATCGTAAAAAGAACAAGTGAAAATCAGTGACGGGACATTAGCTGTCGCACAATAACTAAAGTGTACAAACGCGAGCTTCGGAAAAGGAAACAAACTGGAAATAATGCAGATATTTCGTTACAGCTGCAACAATATTCGTAGGAATGTTGTGTTCCACAGTGAGCAGCCGAGAACATGCCCTTGTCGCCACCTATATTGTGCATTAAGCCGACAAAAGCACAGCAGTGCTGTGCACTTGGGCGAGCGGTCAACATGTGGGCTGTCAGTCAGTGGCGAGAGCGCTCCCTTACGACGCTGCATGTACTTATTGGCAAGGTTCATTTAAAAAAAAATGCCTTTTAAGACCTGGGTTCGAAAGCACCAGTAAAGCCAGCCCAAGAAAGACAAATCGGTCGGACAATTCGCTGTTGCACCAGCATGCGTATTACACTAAAGCTACCAACATCTTAGCGGGCCCACCCCTCCTTAAGTCACACCCACTTTTCAGTCGCCCCACCCACTCCGTCACGAGCCCTGCCGACGAGCAAGGTGACCCCCACCCCCCTACTCTCTGATGTTGGCCATGCCGCCACAGCTCAAGGGGGCCCAAGTCGACCAATCGGGTAGCTCTGCCCCCCCCCCACCCCTTTGCCAATCGACAGTTGAACACGGAAGCTAGAAAATGTTCACCCCAGGGGACAAAAAAATCCCAAACTTCACAAATCATTCGGGACACCAGGGAAAGCCTTCCTGAAACTCTCCAGCCAAACCAGGGCGCACAATAGCCTTAGCATATAACCCGAGACGGTGATGCACTGTCCTTTGGTTACTACACAGTGCTTATAAAACACAACCCTCTCTTCATGCCACAGACGAGCGTTAACAGGATTAAGAAAAAAAGAGAGACCCTTCCAGTATAATTCACAACGTTTCGTCTCTGCCCACGATTAAGCCAAACATTGCCAGGAGCAATAAAAGCACATTCTTTATGCAACACACTTGTAAAACTATTGAACATGTTTGTATAAAGTCGGTAGTGTTCATAGATCAAGTGTCAAAGAGGAGTGCGTGTCTTTTTGTAGTCAACTATATTTTGTCCTTGTATTATTCAGATTGTTTTTAACCCCTCAGTAACCTGGGCTGCACCGAACGTGGCTTCAAGAAGCATTGCGATGAGCCGATAAAACATTTGGTTCCGAGCTAATGTAACACAGGAGTAAAGTTAACTTTAGCTTCCGTCCCGGGCGTTATCGTCACTTTTAAATGACACTGCAATTACGTGGCAGCTCTGCACTGAAGCATCGCTGCTCAACACTCTCCAGAATGGCGGGAATAAAATGGCCAAGTTTAGTTGAAGCCATAGAATACATTATTTTCATTTAGTTTGACTTCAGTAAACCTGAAATTAAGATACGCCACTCAATATGGAGTTCACCAACATGCTCAACTCCCAAGTTAATTACAGCTTTTCGATAAACCAATCACAAGGCGACGAGTCATCTTGGCAGCGAATTTCCATCCTCTGTTGGTCCCATGCGTCAGCCAGCCAGCGGCCTTCCACCGAAACATCGCCACTGCCACAACAACAGAGATATGGAAATGCCAGCAGCACAGCCGATTTGCGTTGCGCAACCGGCAATGGTGGTGGGGTGGCGAAGCGGTTCAAGCACTGCAATACAAACCTGGGGACCAGAGTTTTGATTCCCAGGCGTGGCTAACATCGGTGGCAAGTGACATCCGAAGCAGTCCTGGCTACATTCACCAACCTGCACGGGACCAGTGTGGCGAAGTATGGTCAAAGAAGATACCTTCATCCAGGAGGGGATTGGCAAAAATATTGTTCATCGATACCAGATATCAGGGAATCTCCATATAGTAAACCCGCACTGCCATTAGTTATCCACGAGCCATCGCTGCTGCCACCTTGCATTATTGCTGTACTCTTAACTACAAGTATGTCAAAACTCACCACGAGTGTTTATCAAATTGTGCTCGAAGCAGGGTCAATCTAATTATACGGTACACCTGTAGAAACCCTGTTGTTGTTCCTGTTGGTAGCAGGTACAAGCTACTTAAATAAGTAAGAATTTCACACCTTCACAAATACCACGTGTGTTTTCCCAAAGTGTTTATGGCTGATAGTGGTAACGTAATTTCACAACATGCTCTTAAAATACTTCAATATGACACCCATGTAGTCCAAGGCAAATTCCTATTAAATATTGTAAAATTATGAGCCATACTTATAGGGCACATACTGGAAGAGTGACATTCATTTCAAAGTAGAAGCCATCGCAGTGGTATTATTACTATTCACAATTTAAAATCCAGGTTATAAATGCACTGAACATGCGACTGGCAGCTTGATTATGGCATGCCAACCAGCTTCCAGTAGGTAAATGATGCTCTGATCTGAGGCAATAATCCTTTAGCGATATGATAGTGACAAACTGTCATAAAAGTGGTGATATATGGATGTGAACTGCAAGACATTCTTAACAAATACTGACCAAATCAATGGTCCGTTTAATTATTTAAAAAAACGCAAAGTTTGGTTGAAATGTTGAAATTGTAAACGGTAAACTTAAATTAAATTCTGCATTGCCCAACAGCCGACAGGTTATATAATAACACCGCAACCCATAGTTAACTACCTAACATTTCTCCAGCTTCTTTTTCTCAAAACATTTTTAAAAAAACATTCCAAAACGTTACGTAGTAAAAAGGCAATGCTATGTGCACTCTGTTTCATGCAGAGTAAAATGAAGTGCAAAACGTATTGTCGCATTGCCTCGAGTGCTGTAGATTGTGGGCACTTCACTTGAAAAAATGCAATCTCATTTTTTGTTGTTTTCAAAGTCAAAACGAATGTCATTCATGTGGCCAAAGATGGCAGGACACTTGCATAGGAAGCGATAATTTCCATGCATATCCCTGGCATCGGTGAGATTTATTGTTCGACTGGAAAAATGATGAATCGAAGCGAAAACGCCAACCACATAAAACCCTCTCACACAATCACAGGCGAGTACCAATCTCTATGTTGGATAGTTAAAGGTCCTCGCCCTATAATTTTTGGTAAAACCGCCAAGTTTGTTTGTTTGTCCAGAACCGCAGAAAAGAAGCGAGAGATTACCTTGCACACAGAACCCTCGGGCCGATGGCTCATAGAAAAATACACGAAAAGAGAAACGGATGGGGAGCGCTGCCATCACAGCGCTAGCGACGGCCCTTCCTTCGAGTGGTTGGGGGGCGCGCTAGTCCGCAGGCCGGGCATGCCGTCCCAGTTCTTCCAGAGGTACGCGAGCATGACGGTGAGCAGCGCCGTCACCAGAATGCGGTTGCGCGTGCGCACCAGCGGCGTGATGAAGTTGGCGGCCGTCGACACGAACACCAGCACGACGGCCATGAGCGCCAGCAGCACGTTGATGAGCTTGCCCAGGAGGGCGCGCGCGTTGGCGTTCTCCAGACCCTCCAGCTGCACCACCTGCTGCTGCTGTTGCTGCAGCTCCAACTTGGAGATGCGTGTCTGGCATCCCTCCAGCGCCTCCTGGCCCGCGGGGAAGAAACAGAAACAAAGATTGACAACACGTCGGCAAAGTGACCAGACATTACCCATGCGTTTGGGTGTTTGTTTTTTTTACGTGCAAGGTTGGCATCGCGGTTTGTACTCTGCCACAATCCTAGTCATCACAGTTAACATCTGCCATGGTCAAACCACTGCTGTTGTGGCCTCCCTCCAAGTGGTTGCCATCTCTCTTGTTCCTGCAGTATAACAACCCACCTCGTACCTGAACGCAAACCGATTCAATTGCCTCCACTCTGGTGGACATCTTCACAATCACAATAATTTCTGTTTTAAAATGTTGCTTTACGTTCTCATAACACATCATGCTCGGTAGAAATTCCCATACAAAACTCACTCGAAGCACTGTAACGTCTCCCTATGTCACAGAATGACCTCGAAGGTAATTTCACAGAACCGCCGAGATACCTTTTATGCACACTAGGGGCACTGCCTGACGCTACCCCTTGCTTTCATGGTCATACTCTGCACCTGCAAGCGTGTCGTTAGACGAGAGCGTGGTACTGCGACGGGTGCCACCGTGCCAAAACCCTGGTAACCCAGGTTCAATTCCTGATCATGCGCAGCAGCAATGACGTATGTGAACGTCATCACCATTTCTTCCGAATCCGTCCTGATGACGTACGTGAACGTCATCGGAATGGAATCGAAAGAAAAACTAAAAATAACTATCGGTACCGAGGCTCCCACATTGCCATGCGGGAGGGCATGTGGCACAGTTTGGCACCAGCTATCATAGTGCGGTCGTGTCGATACGGTTCTTTGCGGCGAGTACAATGTATTTCAAAACAACGGTGCTATGCCTCTCCAAACATAATTAACGTTAACCGTTTGCACGTTCCGAGATTCCGCGGTGAACGGGACACCCAATCTGCAACTTGCAGACATCTCGGAATAGAAAACTGTACACGTCTCGTTCAGCGTCACCATTAACAATGCCTTATGACAGAAAAAGACAGCAGGCGTATTTCGGTAGTGTTCTTCAGATGGTCTTGCAGAAGGTGGCTTTTCTACAGTAGTATCATGATGTTATAAGGCATTGCTTATGACTGCACTGAGGAGGGTTGTTTTGGGCTATGTGCATACAACACTGCCAAAACAATCGAGTTTGATTTGAGCCATGGCATTTGGTATCTGCACCTTACCTGCATCTGACCCAGGTTGACTCACGATTTGATCCCGAGGTGACAGCTATCATGGGATGGTGCATCCTCATCATTCCGCTTTGAAAATGTGAGCAGTTCCACAAACCTCAGCCAACAAAGCAAAAAATAATCTAAATAATGCACCAATGGGGCATCATTGTGAAGGTCTCAAGTGACCAAAATGTACTTGAAAACGTGTACAACTGCCCCAGTGAGGAATCAAAAATAATTTCAGCGAGCCTACCCTCGCAACACATCCACCGTGGGAGAATGGTTCTCAACACTCGGCACTGCATCCACACATGCGCATACTGCAGACTACACTAATGTGAGTACTGTGCAGTACTGTGCAGTCCTCACAGGCTCGACTGCCCTGCATTTGCTCCACACCATTTTTTAAAATACATGAAAATACATTTTTAAAAATGGTGTATTCCTTATGCAAGACAAGCACAAAACTCAACAGTATTTTAGTTTACCAGGAAAAGCCCACCGAGCTATATAACTATTTTTTCAGAAGCGCGATCTGGCCACAAATGATAGCTCAACGAGAAGATGATCACGCGGATATTTATATCAGCCAAACACTCTAAATGCACGTTGACTCTAAATGTGGGTGGGGGGGGGGGGGGAACTGGAGGACCTGGAGAAAATTCAACGCGACCACAGGGAGAGGACATGCAAACTCCAAATATACAGCAGGCGTCACAGGGTTGGGATGGAACCCACGTCCTCCTGCATATCAGGCGAGGGAGTTAACATCTCACCACCATGGCACCCTTCTCACCACCACAGCACAAAGTGAAGGTACAGCTGGTTAGTAGAGACATCAATATATATAACGGACAAATGAAAAAAATATTTGGTTTCTGTCAGACATTTGGAACCAAATTGTTGTTATTACAATTTGCTTTGAGTTTTTTAGGGGGCTCTCACATCAGGTAGGTGCTATGATATGAATTAAACGGTTATTTTCAACAGTGTAAAGCATACGTTAATAGATTAAAAAAGAGGATTCAAGTATAGGCTTTTGCCAATCCAATTCTGGAGCAAAGCCTACCAAAACTGTGTCGGTCACGGGGTTGTGTGACCAAACATCACCATGATGATCAGTGCAGGTTGGTAAAGGGGGCAGGCGCAGGACCAGTTCAGCAGATATCACTCTCTCCACACCGTGGCCGAGAATCGAACACAGTTCAATGGATTCATAGCGCAGTGTGCGCAAAAAGCAAGGCCCTATCAATAAATCACTCAAATTTTCATGCATAATGTATGGCCGCACAGGGCTTTCTCGTGAAAACACTGTCAATGAAATGTATATTCCTTACGAAAACACGGCAAATAACTAAATTCCATTTACAGATTATCTTCGACCGTGACAGCATGTCACGAAACCGCACGCCACGGCCATTTGTGGCCAAGGAGTCGTGGGCAAGAGGGAGCGGCAGGGAACAGCTTCAGGGCGAGCCAAGGAGGAGAGATGATTGGCAAAGTGTGCGGCTGAACAGGTCAGTAACGTGACCTACGGGCTGGCTCAATGACGTGCTGACAATTTTTGACCCTCGGAAATAAAATAAAGAATACAAAAATCAATGTGCTGTAGCGCAGTGGGGGCGGGGGGGGGGCTCTGCTTGCCGTGACCATGGAAGGCACCCATGCTGGGAGCATACAGCACCTGTCTGCCACTCTCTCATGTATATGCTGCCAAGCCTGTCATTCTGGTGGGTGACATAATGGGATTTTTGTGTTCCTCGCCCAAGGAGTAAAGTAAAGTAGGAGAGTGACGTTAACGCTTTTTCGTGCTTTGTCACCCTTGTCAATTCGCTGCATTATTTGATTTATTGACTTAAAGCTTTCGTGACTGCAGGGATTCATATTCTTGGTTCTTTCGGCAAAGTCACGTAGAAGGGAAACAATAAAATAATAAAAATATAAAACAATAAAATTTTCACGACGTTTCGACTGCATGTATTGTGATGGGAAAGCAACACTATAATTTTCATTCCTCTTGTGCAGTTGCGGAGAGCAGGCTTATTAATATTTATACTAATATGCATTTCAAGTCTGACTGAACAATATAAGATATACGGGGGTGTGTGGCAATTTTTTGTATGTTTTTTTTTTAAGTCGTCATGACAATTGTGTATATCCTTTCACACTTCCCATTAGCACGGTTGGCTATGTATGGTGCCAAAGAAGTTTGGTGAATATGCGCTTTTGGCCATTCATTTCTAGTTCTTCCAAGTTAAAACATTAAAAAAAAACATGCAAGTTACTATCAAGACTCGATCAATAAAACGTACAGCTCATTCATCAACTCACTGCTGAATGAGTGCCTCCACACGCTGTGCAGCTGTGGGAGTTATTTGACCTTGACCATACTTCACACGCTGGTCACAGCCAGTTGATAAAAGTGCATGCACGAAGCATAATCCAGTGCAATAATGGATTTTGCTGTTGACAACATAGCAGCCTGCAATAGCTGTTCATGCATGCGGTCACCCATTCAAGCACAATACTACAGACTCTTGCTTGGCTTGTGAAATGATGATATTGGGCGCATTCCGAGTGATACTGTCATCGGCATCTATGCAGTAATCCCCAACAAATCTTACCGAAGGTGTAAATGTTCTCGGATAAAAAACATTGGTCCGTTTCAAAGAGTTAAATTATCTTCCAATTGCAGCTGCCTCACCGCAACGCCCTGGCCGATGACATCACATGCTCATTTCAGCATTCACGCATAACAATCACGAGGTGAAAGGATGCCAAATTACTGCACGTAGCAGCAACATTTTCATTTCCTGACGTCACACGCAGCCCACCACAACACGCCAAGGCATGAAATCACCTGCACATCGCGTGCCCTCTCGTAGGACTGGTATGCCACCTTCTCCTCCATGCTCGCCAGCTCCTGCTTCAGGTTGGACATCTCGTTCTGGTGCAGTTCCGTCAGGTCATTCAGCTGATCCTCCAGACGCCCAAACCTGGAGGCGCGGACGCAAAGCAGCGAAATCGTGAGAATCCGCGAACACAACGCGGAATCTTTTAACACGTAGGTTTGTCACTGCCGTTTGCAAACCAAGTTAGGTTTTTCTCTACGTTGTGGTGTGTGTCGAGTGTGTTTTGTCTCTCAAACTTACGCCACCTACTACTGATTTTGTGTGGCAAAAGCTTTAAAGATGACATGCTCGTCACGTAGACCAACCTGGAAAATGTCAAATATTTTTGAAGTCGCATCACTGTACATTTCCCATTTATGTTTGTGACACACGGATGGGTCTCATAATTGCCAGATCACCCCTCCTGGGTCTAGGGGTCGTCAGTTCAAATCTAACTTCTGCCTCCCAACGCACCAAGGGAATATCAATAAATAAGCACATTTTCTGCCAAATCAGGCTTGGATATAATGAACCATGAAAATATCCTGTTTACCAGTATAATAACAAAATTTGAGCAATTTTGACATTGCCCTATCATCCTTTGCTCAACGCTCTCTGCGAAGAGGTGTGCCTCTGCTGAGATGGGAGCGACGTGTATTCACGTATGTGGTACAATCCCCTGATGTACAAGGATCTCTTCATGCAAATGAATTGTGGGGTTTATTGTACTATACTTAACCATGCCAGTCAGTGTGGAATAGTGAAGGTGGGGAGTCTATACGTAAAGAACCGTACAAAATATTTTGCTGTACTGACCTTTGCTACCCACAACGTAGCCCCCCCGCAGCCACCTATAAGTGTTAAGATAACAAAAGGGGTTCCACAGGGTTCCATCCTCGGCCCCCTCTTGTTCTCTCTTTATGTCAATGACTTGGGCACTGACCTGGATCATTCCAGGGTAAATCTTTTTGCAGATGACACGATACTGATTACTGCTGGCCGCTCTCCGGATGACGTGATTGCTAAGCTACAGGGTGATTTCAACAAACTACAACATCAGCTAGTTGTTCTTAAACTAGTCCTGAATACCTCAAAAACCAAGGTGCTATGCTTCTCATCAGGACTAAAGCAGGAAGTTATTTTTCCCCAATTATATTCCTTAAATAATGATCAAATAGAGCAAGTCAAGATCTATAAGTATCTTGGGGTCATCCTGGATTCAAAACTGAATTTTGAAGATCACATTGATTATATTGGTAAAAAGACAAAAATAAAAATTGGTTTTCTGTATCGACACAAAGCACTGCTTCCCCCCAATGTTCCGTTTGGAATTGATAAAAGCTACCATACTGCCTCTACTTGACTACTGTGACATCGTGTATAAATCAGCCCCAAGTACTGTACTGAAGAAGCTTGATTCCATCTATCACTGGGCCTTAAGATTTACATGGAACTGCCCATATAGGACTCACCACTGTGATCTCTACATTGGGTCAAACTTAACATCTCTTAATGTTCGACGGCTTGTGCACCAGATCTTATTTATTCACGATGTACTTACAAAAAAATCCGCAGACTACTTGCTGGATCTCCTCTCTGTTTCAAAGAACAAATTTGACCTCAGGTCTTCGCTCATTTACCAGCTTCACATTCCCTATTGCCGTACAAAAACTGGAGGAAGGGCCTTTGCTATTGATGCCCCCAGAGTCTGGAATGCTATTGCCAATAAACTGCAACATGAATCGCTACCAATGAGATCGTCTCTCAAAACTGCTCAAGAGGAGTTGTACACCCCTAGCTGCCACTGCGATTCATGACGCTGTTGAGCTTAAAGGTGCATTGAAAAATTTGATACTCCGACTGATGCTTCTGTTGTTATGGAGTAACTCATGCAGCCAGCTATGGCTCTAGGATTTGGTGTTACATTTTATTTATGTAGTTTATTGTAAAAATATCGGTCACAGTCCCTGTGATCACTGTTACGTTGCAATTATGGCTTTATTTTTTGGTGATTTCGAAAAGTGTTTTGGTATGGATATGTTTGTTTTGTTGTAGTACAGAGTTAGACTGATGGCCTTAATCTAAGTTGTCTTGTGGTTGTTGTTGTTGGACTTGCATCCCACTGGCATTTTTTGCATACAGCGTTGGTGTACGGTGCTTTTTTCAGGAATATTTTGCTGTTTTTTCATGGATTTTCTGTTTGCACAGTCACATAGTCACTTTAAGATGTTTTTCTTGTTCGTGTTTTTGTTTTTTGTTTGTTGTGGTTGCACCCGATTCAAGAGCCGAATGGCTCACAGGGCTATACCAAATAAATGGAACTAAAATAAATAAACTGAAAATAACACCTCTTATGCATGGTGGTCGCTCATCCGAGCACTACCTTGATATTTTTGCTAAAACAAAGTTAAATATCTGCTATTGAAAGCATATATTTCATCATGGCCAAAAGCTGTTGATGCCATCAAATCTCGACAATGCTTTCCACCCTCTTCCAGGTACTGCAGCTGCCACATAGCAGACACTCCGGTGAAGTATGGTCAAACAAACCCTGCATCTCTTATCAGTTTAATAGCTTGTTTATGCAGTAAAAGCAAAACTGTACCCACTTGTTTGTGGCTAGGGATGACAACAATTATTGGCACTGAAAACAAATAATGACCTTCATCTACCAGAGACTCCAACAAGAGCCTCCATTGATGGTGTTTACATGTTCTCAGCAGCAGAGTTATTTGCTTGCGTGCGTGCCCAAGTCAAGCCTCAACAGGCTCACATCACACCGTTTACACTTGGCTGGGCCCATTTGTATGCAACTCAAAAAACCAGAAGAACCGTGGCATCATCTCTAGCAGTGGTTCTTAACCTGGGGTGCGAGAACACAAATTAAGCATGGGCACAAAAGTATAATTATACAGTAAAACCTTGGATTGAGAGTAACTTGGTCTGAGAGTATTTTGCAAGACGAGCAAATTTTTTTTTAAAATAAATATTAATTTGATAAACGAGCGACGGTCTTGCAATACGAGTAAGTACGTATACGCTTTGTACTGCCGAGCATCACGTGATCACAACTGATATACGAGTGCTTTGATATACGAGTGCTTTGGATTACAAACACGTTTCCGGAACGAATTATGCTCGCAATCCAAGGTTTTACTGTACTTTGTTTCTGTATTTATGAACATTATACTTTTTTTTACGATTGAGAACCAACGAGGTGCAAGGCTGAAGTAAATATTAAAAAAAACACTCGTCTATAGTACAGCTCGTTTTTAAACAGTCCTCTGCTGGATGAACACCTCCCCACACCGCGTATTGTCACGGTGGGAGGGATTTATTTGACCATACTTCCTCACAATGGTCAGTGCAGGTTGGTGAAGGCAGGGAGCGTAGGCATTGGTGTAGGAACATAACCACGTTGGAGGTGTAGATAACAAAAGTGGATTTTACTGCACTGCCCCTCAACAGTCCGCAATGCTGATTGCCGAATCCGTTTTTTTGTGCATGGTGGTGTTCACCAATCCAAGCGCAAAGCAAAAGTCAATCCTAAGCCTCCAAGATATGTTCCGGGCAAGGTGGTCAGAGGAAATAAGAGTGTAAACCATCTGACATGTATAACCAGTTCTTCCAATCTGCCAGAATTGATTACCGACCCTAAAAGCTTCAGACTAAGTCAGCAACACTTTCAAGGATTTTTTGACAATCTTTTTATGCACCCAATATATTCCGGCAGATACCTCACTGACCACTTTCCTCCCCGAATTCCCCTTAAATGATTAATTCGTAACTTAAAGCAAGCCCTCCTGGGGACTGTACACCGGCAAAAACTAGATATGTGCATCTCAATTCAATCCACCAAACATGAATATCAAAGGCACAAATTAATAACTTCACCCGGCTAATGAGCAGTTGCTTTGTTGAAAATTTACGATGTGCTTTGACTTAACTGTATTAAAAAAGATTAAAAAAACATCAAGTTGCCAGACCTCGCCAATGCTTTCTACCCTCTGCTAGATTCTGCAAGTGCTGCTACACAGAAGACGTGACCCTTCAAAGTGCTGCTCCAACAGCATCCCACCACATAGTCCGAGGCCAATCCCTTGGTGGCCAGACTTTGTGAAGACCATTGCAATGCATGTCTCGGTAATGGGCTCTCACTTGCTCTGCACACACGTACTTCCCAGAAAAAACGTTTTTGCCTGGTCTATGTTCTCTCCATTTCACTTCTGCATTGCTTCCCATTGCTTATTAAGTCTTGCCATGAAATTCAGATACCCGTGCTCAAATGCTAATTAATTTGAGCTGCTTAGTTAGGGTCCAGCTCTCTAAGCCATGTAGTAATACAGATAAGCCCTCCAGACTCGACTATAAAAATAGTGAGACATTCTTTATTTTATTTTTTTACTCGCAAGAGATCAGTCGGTGTGTTGCGGCCTGTGTGGCTTTTGCAGCCGCGGGATGTGCCTTGATGGATTTGCGGGCCTTGAACTCTCTAGGTGGGTGAAACCTATCGGCTCAACCGCCCACTCCTCGCATCGCTGCATGCGGCAAACGTGATCAGGACGGACACTTTCGCCGGAAGGCGTTAAACTGCCCCAAAATACAAGCTTCACTTAGACTTGGAAAAAGGAAAAGTATTTATTACAATAAATCCCCCCCTCACCCCGTCTTTACAGCAGCGAGGGCTTTGCGTTTTCATCTCACAATGGGCCTCCCCCGCAGGCACATTTTTGCACGAAAGCCGATGCAAAAGTGATTGTGCACGTAGCAATTGTGGGGACAGGATGATCGTGTGACACGATGGACACTGCCCTGGAATTCTGAACTCGCATGCGGTGGCCTCTGGCAACATCCCAACAGCAAGGATAGATAATAATGCCAACAGAATATAACAGGGGATGAAAGGGTTTTTTTTGCATTGTTTTTGGTAACTAATTCCCAATGACTCACGACAGTTGGCATGGTACTGAGCTAAAATGGTTTAAAAAAATATACAATCACCGTCTATTAAATAATATCTTTTATGCATTCAGTAGAAATGGCCCAATCTACAGAGACAGCATAACAATGCCGACACAATTACTGTAATTAATATATTTGGGGGAGTGCATCATGTGATTATAATGCACGGTGTCAATCAGTTTACAGGCGCTTCATGAAAAGGACAATTGCTGGAAAGTTCCGCATCCTCCAAAAGTTATTCCGACTGACCCTCCCACCCCCACAACTCGTACAACTCGGTCACTGGTGGGAGTTGATGGTCTCAGCCTGGTCACCAACGACTGCTCAAAAACACCTCCAGATAAAATGACTTGGAAAGGATTGCAAACGTCTGCGAAATGTGCTTCTGCCGGCCACACTTACACAAACGATTATACTACTCTCTGCGAGAAATTCAAATGCATTCAATCAATCTTTACGTTACGTGCCATGCAAACATGACGCTCAATAAATGAGCAATCTACGACTAATGACATGGCGGCAATGGCGCGCTCGAAACAACGGTGTGGGGGGGTAAAATGTAAACGAAAATGAAAAAAGGAAAATGAACAGGCGCTCTCCGCTTGCCTGAATCTCTCCTCTAAGAGCGACTGCTTGAAGTTGGTGACCTCCGTCTGGAACTGCGTGCGCATCTCCTGCACCATGCCCTCGAGGCGTGCGTGCGTGCTGTGGATCGTGTGCAGCTCCCGGCGGATCGCCTCCATGCCGAGCCCCTCGTACGACGAGTAGCGTGGACTGCCCAGCTCCGTCCCTCCGTTGTTGCCGCCGCCGCCGCCGTCACCGTTGCCGCCCGCCGTGGCGGAGGAGCCCGTGAGGTTGCGCCCCAGCGACGTGGAGACGATGGCGAGGCCGAGCGCGGAGCCCGCGCCCGACGTGCCGCCGCTCGAGCAGTCGTCGTCGTCGCTGTACTTGGGGCACGAGACGAGCGTGGCGCTGCCGCTGAGCGTGCGCGACGCCTCCACCGAGCGGTGCTGGTCTGCGTGCTCCTGAACTCGCGGTACAACGACAACGACGACGACAACGACGACGACAACGACGACGATGCGCGCGTTTAAACAAAAAATTCGCAGCGCGGCAGTTTTGGTTATGGGTAAGCGTTAATGCGACCTCGTCACTAGAAAGGGTTCAGATTCAGTATTGGGATTCAACTTGATAAGATTCCCATGTTGCCATTGTGGTGAATGTAACACCTTACGCACTCAAAATGGATGCATGCACCGCAAGCACAAGCAGTGGCTAGCACCGATGAATTTGATGCATCCTCATTTGCTTGCTGACCAATCCCTTTTCAATTTCCCCCCTCTAACCACCCCCCCAAATTTAATTCCAATGTTACGAGACAAAGTATCCTTCCGGAACTCTTGCAGAGCAGCATAACCCCTTTGTGTTTGGGAATGGCTAAAACATCTGGCAGGAGGGAATTCCAGATTATGCAGAGAAAGAATATCATACCATTAAGTGGAGGTTGACACACAATGTGAAAGAAGTTGTTCATGATAAACACTGAAAACAGGTAGCTTTACTTCCTCCAGAGTGTTCAGCTGATAAGCATGGTTTTAATTATATTTGTGCAGAATGCTTGGCTTTGCTCCCTGCGCATAAAATTACTTCAAAAAGCATTTCATAGCCCCGCAGTGCTTTCACCCTGTCACCACTTGACAATTCTTTACAAATGTAAAAGAGAATAGTTCATACACTTAAGTGCGTAAGAGAGGTGGGTTAAAGTTGCATAGCAGCTAAACAAACGAGACAGGATCGGGAACAGCACTCGGTGCATTATTGATACGTTTTTTTTGCCCTGGAGAATAATACAAACACACTGCGCCGCGCAGAGTGGTGGGTCCACTGCTTAATTACCTTGTGTAAAATTATTCAACGTAAGAGCGCACGGGTAGGTTGCTACCCAACGTGTTTCTTGAGGGTAAAGGTGCAGCCCTGCAATTACACGCTTACGCCTATGCTGGCGGAAGGGCCTCCGCTAAAGGGAGCTCAAGAGGGCCCCCTCTAGAGCAGCAGTGTTCTTCACTGCAAGACCCACAAGGCCACTGGCGCCTTCTGACGTGTGGCCCCCCCGATAATACACAAATGTGAAAACACCCCCCTTGCAGGCGGTGTTGGCGGCCCTTGCACTGATGTCTTGTCGGCCAAAGTGCCCCCCCCCCCCTCTCTCTGAAAATTAGTAAAGAACGCCATTCTAGAGGGTGATTTGGCCTGCTCTTCCACACTGCGCAGACGAGTTGGAAAAGGTGAGATTACTCACTTCACGTGGCAGCACGCGACATACCAATTGACTAACTGCAGTGTACACATTCACACTGCTAGGTGACGGACAGAGGTGGAGGGGATTCTAAAAGTTTGCCCATTGTTCCAAATGTTACGCCAGTAAGATTGTACCGGTGACCTCCGACTTGTTAATCCAGTGTGGTAAGCGTTACAGCACAGCGGAATCCTATGGCTGTTAAGAATGTAGCATAAATTGTCAAATGTTTCGGAGGAAAATAATTCAAATAAATATTTTTTTAACGTTCAAATTGCTGATAAAACACGTATACACTTTGCCACAATGTTATACTACCACATTCTTATACGCTTAAAAACGTAAACCACATAAGACCACAACCAATTTTTCCCACGACTAAATTTAGTTAAAATCTATTTTTAAAACCGTTTCACATTGCCTTTGTATATGTGGCTCAAAAGAATAAACATCCGCAAAGGACTGAGCCAGCACTGTTGAGATTTCATGTTCAAATTCAGACCGCCACCCACTGATTAAAGATCACTCCAAAGTCTAATGTGTTAACCAACCTCAGCTTTAGAAGTCATGATTGCAATCGCACTTAATTACGTCCATCTAAGCTCAGATGGTTTGTTCAATGTGAATGACAAAAAAAATGCTTTCGGCTGCAAAACTACAGAGCACATGATTGCTTGGATTTGTGTTACAATAACGTAAACCTTTGCATGTCAGGCAATGGAGAGTAAAGTTACTTCTGGACCATTCCCCCAATGTGCAGCACCATCATCGGCCAAAATCAATCTACTGAAGGCCTCCCCAAGTCGTCGCCAGATCTGATGATCGAGCAACAAAACAATCCACTTAACTCCTGCACAACAGCTGATTTCATCACTCCAACTCCGAGATGAATGTCCTCTTGAGCACGTGCCCTCCCGATGGCTCTCACTCCATCATTATTCTCACCCGCCCAAGCCTACTTATATTTAATAACGATCAAAATAATATATCAAAAACATGCGTATACTCACAAATCCACGTGTTCCTATTTGTCTTATCGCTGCGAATTCCAAGCTTACTTTTCTCCCTGGGGCATCGACCACGTTAAGGGAAAACGTCGGACAAAGGCTGATCGACTTGCGGTTCAACCCGAAAAACCACATCGCACTCGACCAAAATTAATAAAAACCAGAGGAAACCAAAAGCACGCGGGCGAGCCTGGACGCCGCCGCCACCACTACCTTGAACGTGGCAATGTTGTCAGCGCTGCCGAACTTGCTACGGATGATCGTCGCGATCTCCCGCGGCGGCTTGGACAGGCCCCGCGCGCGGTCCACGACGCCGCCGCCGAAGCCGCTGATGCCGGCACGCACGTTGGCCGAGACGTCGCGCAGGCCCTGCTGCACGTCGCGCAGCACGTCCTTGGGCTGCCGCGCCACGCCGTTCTGTTCTGCCTCGCGCAGCCGCCGGTGGTATAGCTCCAGCTTGCGCTGCAGCTGCGAGATGGAGTTCAGCGACCGCTGGTTCTTCTTCTCGAACACCGCCTTGATGCGCAAGGCCTGCTGACGATCCGTGTTGGAGGCGAGCTGCGGCAGGACAGACGCGCCCGGGGAGGCAGGCAAAACGTGTTTGTACAGCAGCAGAGCGGCTTGCTTTTCGGACAAGTGGCACCATCGCCGTAAATTACAAACACGTTGGGACTGTAAAGACCCAAGGGCAGCACACGTTGTGCACCGTAGAAATTAAGATGACTAAACAGATCCTCGGGGATCGTGAAACTGCATTGGGACAAAATTAAGAGATGAGCAAGAAGAGAAGAGAGGTACCCGTCTCAGACAATGCGAGAAGGTTAATTCGGATGGCTAGGGCATGCAACACAGAGGTAAACCACAAGAGCACATATGTAAATTCAACGGAGGAATCAGGGGGAAGACTTAACGGCAGGCCTAGAAAGAGGTGGTTCAAAGTGGTGAACGAGTATATTAAGGACTGTCGAGTGGATGTAGAGATGGCCCAGAACAGGAATGAGTGAAGAAAAAGGGACGAGGAAGGCAGACCCTACAGAAATTATTGCAAGGTGTCGGTGTTGCGTGAATGTCACTTGTCCCCATGTGTGCCTTTTCCAAAACAAACAATCAGCTCTTCTGTAAATCAAGTCATGAATGACATGCAGTGCTATAAGACAAAACAGGCTTTGTTGGTGATCTCGTCAGTTAGTTAAACTTGTGTAGAAAATAGCGGTGGCTCTTCTGCACTTATTGGATGCTACTTGTCCAGCTGATGTTTAACATTCCACGGCAGTGCTGCGTTTCAAAAGGATTGATCTCTTTCCGCGACGGCTTTTGTGCCCGGTCCCACCATCACACGGGCGCGACAGTACAGAGCGAACAAAGCAGACTGAAAATGTATTGTCTGAATGTAATATTATCCATTTCAAAAAGTACTTTTTGCCAATGTAGCAAACCGATTTTAAATTAGGACAGCCATAGTCACGGCAATTACGCCACATTTGATCAAATGTAGTCGTACGAGTTTGTTCACACACAAGCGCACAGACCGATACACATTTTACAAATAAATGGTAGTTGGGTTACAGGAGCCAGAAATTGTATGGATGACATAAAACGCAGGCCTGCATTGGATAAAAGTGAGTATTGAAATAATCAATGGCTACACGAAATAAAACCACAATCTGCTATGTATACTGTGTACTGGAACCCCACTGAGTGCTTATCGATGACAAAAAGCAGCCACAAATCGGAATCATCCCTTGATGAATGCAGCACTACCACAGGATAGAAAACATCGGCCATACAAAATTATCGTTGCAAGCGTAGATGTTATAACTGCAGCTATATTTGATCAATAATACTGCACAGAGAATGGTGGCCACAGTTTGATACGTGTTACATGTCCCATCGTAACATGTCCCATCGTAACGATCGCCATCTGCTCCAGTTTCGTGACTTTATCACTTTAACGTATGAGAGTGATGTCGGTGACATCAGTCGAATTATCAAACCTGTGTCAGAGAGCTCGGGGACACTCATAGTAAGAACACGTGTACAAGGTATTTTTGATTTGTGTCTTCTTTGAAGAGGATCAAGCGGAAATGAAAATTTCAGATGTTACTGGAGACCAAATTGATGGTAAGAGATCAAGAGACAGGATCAAAGCAAATGTAGTTAGGTGACGTCAAACAATGTTCTCAGGAAGGAAGTTTATACTTCCATTAAGGTAAAAAAAAAGTGGTGGCACATGACTGCAATCCAGAACTTTGGAGAAAAGGATTGCTGGACCACAGATTTATGAATTCCCCAAACCTGCTCCACTGAGACGTGGCCATGAGGTGGTAGACAGCAAGTCGATTTGTGAACCCATCTGTGCAGTTCTTGAAGTGTCACTCCTCGTACAAACGAATTTTCTCTAGATACTCTGGCTTCTTTCCACATGTATAAATCTCCACGTTGTGAATATGTGTGTCTATTCAAAATGTTTAGCGTGCTTCCCGACATGCAACAAACTGGAAATTTGCCATGTGAGTACTTTCTAGACTGTACACCATGCAAAATTATAAAAATACACTTTTGTTTTTTTTTGGGGGGGGGGGGGGCGGGGAGCTCAATAATGCATTTATTTTTTGCACGGCAATTGAGCTGTGACGTCAAATCTGTCACGTGACCCGCGCATGTGGAAGCGTAACGCATTGTAGTGTAGCGGTTAGCGCGCCGCCCTACGAACCCGGCGACCCGAGTTCGATTCCCGCTCACGGCCACCACCGGTGACGATTATTTTAACCGCTCCTGGGCCTCCCCTAGGTCGACTCAGCCTCAAACGAGTAACTGCTGTGGTGTGAGCATCGCCACTGGGGAGACAAAGGCGGCCGGCCGTGGTGCTGGCCACCCACCCCCCCTTGTCACTCATAAATGGAGCTGGCTGAACATACAATTTTAGGATCACAACTTATGGCGATTATAACTGGTGCTAGTGCTGACTTTCTTCTCGCTTGTCTGTGCGTTCCATGCCTCTGAATCTTAGAAAACTGCACGTCACAAATTTGTAACTTTAACTTTTAACTGTTGCCACCAACAACAATCACAAGCCAAATCTGGAATGACCAATCCAATGCTACACTAATTTCTGTACGATAACAGGACTAAACGGTGACTGCCTGGTGTGTGATCTTTCTGTGCATCATGGAGATGCAGAAATCACCAATCAGCATTGCATTGCATGCCATTCTAACCCGTTAAATGTTTAAACATTTTGAATTCTCAAATAATGTTATATGGGTCCCCCCCCCAAAAAAAAAACCCTACATTACATGCGGGGCACGGCAACATGCGCCCAACGTTACCGAGGAAGCCCTGCGGTGAACTCTACACAAAACAATTCCGAGGCACGCACGCACGGAGGAGTAGGAGGAGTAGGAGGAGGAACGCGAGGCCACCTTGAGGTACTCGGCGACGTTCTCGTCGCACGCGTGCTGCTCCACGCGGATCTGCTCCGTGAAGCGCAGGATCTTCTGCTGCAGCGACTCGATGGTCGCGCGTGTCTTCTGCGGGTCAGGCGGACCGCTGCTGTTGCCCACGCTGCCGAAGAGCAGGCCGTCGGGCGTGTCGCTCGCGACGCTCACGTCCGAGCCCGCCGACGCCACCAGCACCGCGGGCAGTGCCAGCGAGCTCGCATCCAGCCGCTCGTGCTGAGTGGGGGAAGGGACGTGACAGGCGGCGGAGGAAGAGGTTAAGTGAAATGTTGCTGCTGCTGCTGTTGTCAATGGCGAGCAAGCACAATTAATAAAAACGCGCGCAATCGTCAATGCCACTTCACGAGCGGATTTTTTTTTTTTTAACAGGTGACATTTCAAGCAATGGCCCTTCTTCATAGCACACGGACGCAGAAGAGCCATTGCTCAGAATGTGGCGGTGTTATTGACAAATGCGTGGAGTTTTTCTTTTTGCGATTGTGCTGAAAAGCTCTCCAGTGCGTTTTCGGGTTGTACCGCGTATTGTTCGGCATGATGTCCCGACGTTTTGCTCGATGTGCAGGGAGCTTCTTCAGAAACTAAATTGAGCTTGCTTTCTCCCCAATTATATGCCATGTTATATAGCCGATTGTATATATTATAGAGCGTATAAAATTAGTTCAGTTCTCGCAGAAGCTCCCAACCGGTGGAATGAAATGGATATTATTCCAAACGCACTTTGCAACAAGAAAACACATGATACAGTGAATATAATATTATTGTGGCATCGGTGACAAGCAATTGATAAGACATCGTGGAGCATAGGCGACTCCCTGACTGCACTGTGGCTTCCGGAACGCAATGCGTCGTGTAGAATGAAATACGACAGCAAAAATGAAATGTGGCTCAACCAGGATTCAATGGGAGACCAATAATGCATTGTGGCATTTAGAATGCAGTTGCTAGAATACAATGCAGTCTTCAGAATGCAACTTGGTTCTCAGAAGTGAATGTAGTTGCCAGGAGTTAATGTGGCTTCCAGAATGCACTGCCACACACCACACAGGGGCATCTATATTGCAGTATTGACATTGGATTACAATGTGACGTGTATAATGCAATGTATTATACACACATTTCATTGGGCTGCTTTCACTCAAGTATTGCTACTGGTGACAAATACATTGTTAATGCAGCCATTTCATCGCTTGGATTTTTACAGCTGCAGACCCTTCATAAAGATCACAAATACTGTAACATGTTTACAAAGATGATAAAAGTACAATGATATTGTGTTCAGAAAGAAACAAATACATATTCAAAGGGAAATCAGAGATGCCTGTTTTCATAATAATGTCACAGCAACATTCAAACGTGTTGTCTTAAAATGTGATTGAAGAAACAAAAAGGCATAAATATACATTTTGAAAATATTAAGCATCGCGATTTTTTTTCGATGAGTCACTATAACAGCGAATGGAAGAGAATTACAGAAAATGACAGAACTAAAATTTATTTTAAAAGACTGGAAAGCGGGGCTTCGAGATTAATACGAACAGAGTAAAAGTCGCGGCACAGTAAGTTCGCCAAATCATATGAAGAAATCTGAACGGGGAACAACCGAAAACATATCAGGGCATGTACATCTAGTTCAGTTATGCAATTGCTGACTGCGATGATATGCAGAAGTGGATGAGGGCATGCTGGATTGCGTTTTGAAAAAAACTTAACTTATTAATACAGAGCAACATACCAACAATGTACACCTCGTGTACATTTCTCACGAGGTAGGACATACGGTTAAAAAAGGACATTGGAAAATGAAGAGTGCAAAGAAGCACGGACAGATGCATACATGCTTGTATTATACCGAGACACAGAAAGAAGAGAACACGCATGGGATTAGAGAACATACGCAAGTGAGATGTATTATATTGAATAAGAAAAGTAAGCGGACTTGGGGCAGGTCATTCCACAGGAAGGGTTAGTCCGCCAGTGGTCATGCATTTTGTACCCGTGTGTGTATATATATATTTAGGATATGCACTGAACATTCAGTAAATCCAAAGCAAATTACATTATACAAGTAGGAACCTCCTGGTTACACCAGCCCACAGGGGATTATTGTGTTCGTCCGTCCGTCGTGCATCCAAAAATGGGAGGGGTGGGGTTGAGTGGAGAGCGGAGGGTGGGGAGCTGGGTGGGGAGGGAGGGGCTGGGTGGGGAGGGGAGGGTGGGGCTGGTCACCCCGTGGTGCCCTTATAAAACTCAACGTTTAACCTACTCACGCCGGCTTGTGCCCGCCCTCACAGTCGGGCATATTTGCAGAATACAGCACGCCGCCGTTGACCCTGGCCATTGACCGAGCAACCCAACGTTCCTACCAGCTGTCTCTGCAAGAAGGTGTTTATTTGTTCTTGTATGCCCTATGTGCACGTGTGTACTGTATATGCAAAATGCATGTCTTGTGTGGTATGCGCATGTGTAGTGTGTAAGCGTGAGCGACCGAGTCCATCTGGTATGTGTGCATTTGCGTATGCGCACACACATATGCGCATGTCACAATATTCATAATTGCCGGATGATGCTGGATGTAATTACCAGCGAAACATCGTACTCAAAAACTGTAAATGTTGTGGATTCACTCACACTGGTGGGCTAAAGTAGTGAACTATTTGTCTTTTGTCAACGTGACACTTTTTTGCTGATTGGCCGTGTCGGGTGGTGGAGGGTTACGACACATTTGTAAATAACGCCATCTAACCCAAAAACGTTTATTATGAATAATATTGGTCGCGAAAGCCTACGTGTTAAAATGTCACAATATTTTGGGAATATCCCAAAATGTCGTTATATTGCATCAATAATTAATTTATATGCAGCCCTTTCGTCAATGCACTACTGGTTATGATGACCTCCCCATTTTCAGGTATCCTTATACCTGAATATCTTCGGATATAAGGGCATAAACTATTGGTGGTGAGTGCATTGAGCAGGGGTGGTGGGTGTTCAGCACCACACTGGACATGCCTTTTTCTCCCCAATAATAATGTTTACACACCGTACCAGAAACTCTTTTGAGGCCGAATTGACCTAACGGAGGCCTAGGACCAGTCCAGATAATCCTTGCGGGAGTTGGCCGTGAGCGGGAATCGAACTCTGGATGCTGGGTTCGCAGTCGGGGAAGGTGCTAACCGCTGCACTACCACTCCCTCTTTTAAAAAAACCACACTAACTCCAACTAAGCCAAAAATATACAATTCGCTAATCAATTGAGCAGCAGTTTCATGTTAATCTTATTTGATAAAAAATATAATTAAAAAAATATATGTGGTAGTGAAATTAAGGAAGCTGTTGCAGGAAAATGTGAATTAGTGTGCAAAAAAATTCAGTGTACAGTGAGAGAAAAAAGTATTTGATCCCCTGCTGATTTTGTACGTTTGCCCACTGACAAAGAAATTATCAGTCTATAATTTTATTGGTAGGTTTATTTGAACAGTGAGAGACAGAATAACAACAAAATCCAGAAAAACGCATGTAAAAAAAATTATAAATTGATTTGCATTTTAATGAGGGAAATAAGTAATTGATCCCTTCTCAATCAGAAAGATTTGTGGCTCCCAGGTGTCTTTTATACAGGTAACGAGCTGAGATTAGGAGCACTCTTAAAGGGAGTACTCCTAATCTCAGCTTGTTACCTGTATAAAAGACACCTGTCCACAGAAACAATCAATCAGATTCCAAACTCTCCACCATGGCCAAGACCAAAGAGCTCTCCAAGGATGTCAGGGACAAGATTGTAGACCTACACTAGGCTGGAATGGGCTACAAGACCATTGCCAAGCAGCTTGGTGAGGTGACAACAGTTGGTGCAATTATTCGCAAATGGAAGAAACACAAAAGAACTCTCAATCTTCCTCGGCCTGAGGCTCCATGCAAGATCTCACCTTGTAGAGTTGCAATGATCATGAGAACGGTGAGGAATCAGCCCAGAACTACACGGGAGGATCTTGTCAATGATCAAGGCAGCTGGGACCATAGTCACCAAGAAAACAATTGGTAACACACTACGCCGTGAAGGACTGAAATCCTGCAGCGCCCGCAAGGTCCCCCTGCTCAAGAAAGCACATACACATGCCCGTCTGAAGTTTGCCAATGAACATCTGAATGATTCAGAGCACAACTGGGTGAAAGTGTTGTGGTCAGATGAGACCAAAATGGAGCTCTTTGGCATCAACTCAACTCGCCGTGTTTGTAAGAGGAATGCTGACGATGACCCCAAAAATACCATCCCCACCGTCAAACATGGAGGTGGAAACATTATGCATTGGGGGTGTTTTTCTGCTAAGGGGACAGGACAACTTCACCGCATCAAAAGGGACGATGGACAGGGCCAAGTACTGTCAAATCCTGGGTGAGAACCTCCTTCCCTCAGCCAGAGCATTGAAAATGGGTCGTGGATGGGTATTCCAGCATGACAATGACCCAAAACACACGGCCAAGGCAACATAGGAGTGGCTCAAGAAGAAGCACATTAAGGTCCTGGAGTGGCCTAGCCAGTCTCCAGACCTTAATCCCATAGAAAATCTGTGGAGGGAGCTGAAGGTTCGAGTTGCCAAACGTCAGCCTCGAAACCTTAATGACTTGGAGAAGATCTGCAAAGAGGAGTGGGACAAAATCCCTCCTGAGATGTGTGCAAACCTGGTGGCCAACTACAAGAAACGTCTGACCTCTGTGATTGCCAACAAGGGTTTTGCCACCAAGTACTAAGTCACGTTTTGCAGAGGTCAAATACTTATTTCCCTCATTAAAATGCAAATCAATTCATAACATTTTTGACATGCATTTTCTGGATTTTTTTGTTGTTATTCTGTCTCTCACTGTTCAAATAAACCTACCATTAAAATTATAGACTGATCATTTCTTTGTCAGTGGGCAAACGTACAAAATCAGCAGGGGATCAAATACTTTTTTCCCTCACTGTAACAGTAGCTGCCTTCACATGTGTTCATTATCCCATTGGAAAAGTTATATTTGCAACACTGCATTAAAGGGGTTATTTTTCCAGTACATGACTATGAACAAGATAATAATTCACAGGCCCTTTGTCAATTCCCCTCGAAAAAAAATCCTATTGGGGGGAGGGGAGTTGACTCAGCCCATCAATACTGGTATTATACTATGGATAAACTCGCCCCCGCCATAGGAATGTGGAATTTCCAAGGCTGGAATGATGA